AGACTGACATCGATTGCAAATTAGCATATCTAACAGTAGTAAAGACCGGGGCAAGTTGTCACACGTTTTATGCGTGTATTTTTTACAATCATTGTTTACAATTAGCCGAAAATAACAGTTAGCCTACATATTTTGTATGATAGGCCTACATTTCCATTTAGCCATAATAAAAGTGTTATTTGCTTTTATAGCAATATAAAATAATGTATAACATTTTAAATAGCCTACAGATACAGGCTACGTTACTGAAGATGAGACTTGAGACTATTTCACATTTCAGACATTTTTTCCCCAAATCATTGTCAATAAACAGAAGGTTTCTATTATGACAACTTGCCCCATATTGAGACATTATGCGGCGTTTTCCTCTGGGAAATGACAGTGTAGCCAGCCTAGATGTTCCAAGGGTCTCGGTGTTATTACAGAAGTTATTCACTCGTGTAAAAGTGTGACAACTAGCCCCGGTTACATCAGCCAATCGCACGCGAGCGCGTGAGGGAGGATCGAGAGCGCGCGCGAGAGCTCTGCCAGACCAGCACGCGCTCCGGACCCTCAACGTGGGTATGTTATGTTTTCATTTATTAAACTTAGTCTTTTCATTGCATTTTAAAGCTGTCAATATTTTAAAGTATCATGAAAACTGTTCCCGTAATTTGTCTGTCAAATTGCGAGAAATCATAGCCTGCTAAAAAATATGAGAAATGTTATAGAAATGTTATAGTCAACTTATGTGATTTGTAGGTTTTTATATATATTTGTCATACAATAAACTGAATTTCACTGTAAACAGAAAACTTGATAACACTTGTTGACGCCTGTATAGCCTATATAATGCACTGTAAAGATAGGATATTGTTGATGTCGTCAGATTAGGCTGCATTAATACAATTTACAGCAGGTCCATGTTTTGTAACGAAATATTTCATATGGTATTTAAAATAATATGGCAATATATATAATGTAATATTTTACTACCTCTGTAAGGATGTGTGTACTGTATATTACTAAGTTAAAAGTTGATAGCACAATATGATAATTAGGCAGTTTATAGTGACTGTATTGACTATAAATCCGTTGTTTGCTCTGTTTATTAACTTGCGTCATATATTTGTATCCAGAGGTGCTCCAGTCAAGTACATAGACAGCAAGCAATGATTTATCTATAGTGTGTGAGTGGATCGATCAGCTCTGCTATTGATCTGTGTCTGTTTCTGCACTCGCAGGATTTCCTTCTGAAACTGTAACAACATTCATACCCTTTTTGAAAGAGTTTTTTTTTTTTTGATGTTTGCTTTGTCTCTCTCTGTCCATATAAAGTATTTCATGCATGCTCATTTACACATTCATTAAATGGCATATAAATCTTGTCTGCAAGGCGACACCAGATAGCATACCCTCCTGACTTCACTGAAATATCATCTGACAAGAGTCGAAAACATGAAGAAGATCGTCTCGGTTACGTATGTAACCCTCGTTCCCTGAAGGAGGGAACGGAGACGTCACGTCCCGTCGCCACAGCTCCTGTACCACCGCTGAGCGGCCGGGTCACCGGCTTGGCTCCTCAGCGAAAACCTGAATATGCGTTGCATCTGCTGCCTACTTATACTCACGCTGTGATCAGCAGCAGCTGGATGCAATAATCGCATGCCAATGTGCATTGGCTCGTTTAGTTTACACTCGAAGTGGATTGGTCTCTCTAAGCGAGATCCCAATTCGTCGGTCATCCGACGTGACGTCTCCGTTCCCTCCTTCAGGGAACGAGGGTTACATACGTAACCGAGACGTTCTCTGTCCATATAAACAGCAGTGCAAGGTCTGTCTGAGCTCACTTGAAGATGTGGACGGGACTGGATGTAGTTTGCAGGTTGTTGCCTCTGAGATTTGAGCTTCGACTGTTCTGTGAATGGAGATCTTGTTGCATCGGTCTGATTTCTCATCGCATCTACTTGTGAGGTAAAGTAACTGCTGATGGCCAGTGTTGGGGAAAGTTACTTTTAAAAGTAATGCATTACAATATTGCGTAACTCCATAAAAAAGTAACTAATGACGTTACTTAGTTACTTTTTATGGAAAGTAATGCGTTACGTTACTTTTGCGTTACTTTTTAAATCTGGACAGGGCTTGCTTGTTTGTTTTTAAAATAAAAAAGTTCTATTTTTGGCAAATATAAAAGCCTTTTCACACCAAAAGTGAAACGAATAAGCCTCAGGCTGAAGGGAAACTAAATTTACGTCCGTACAGTAGAATACAGAAGAAGAAATATTTTACAACACTGCAAAAATTAAAAATGTGCAGTTATTATCTCGAGGAGCCGTTTCTATCTTAATAACCTTAAGAATGACTTAACTTAGTCAGATTAATATAGCGAGGTTGATTCTGTCACTATTTTTTGGTCTGATATAATATCCTTATCATATGGTATCATGTTATACATCAAACTCATGGTCCTACTGGTGTTCCTCTATTGAAGTTGTTTCTATCTGACCTCATCTTTGCTAAATTTGTATATGTAGATGCCCTTTGACCTGCCCTTAACCCTTTAGTTATTATGAACCCAGCTGTCTTTGGGACAGGAATCAGCTGTCAGCACACATATCCCGTCCTAATAAAGTCAGAGGGAGTGCGAGCCTGTATTTACTGCTGGTGAACATGGAGCGAAACGCTGGGAAACCCATCCCATCAGAGTGCTGACCTGTCGACCAGGCCTTGAAGTGATGTTTTACTAGAGCGGTTCACTGTAACACAGCCTGTGCGCTTTAATATTCCTCACGGATCTGCTCTTCTCGTGCCGTGCTGAAGAGGTGACCTGATTTATTTCTCTTTTATGTGGCCGTTATTGATCCACAATGTTTTGAGATCCCGATCGACCCAGATTTACGCCTCTCTCTTTATTCACAGAGCGGCGTTTCCTGTCAAATAGCTGCTTTTCTCCATCCGAGCTCTCAGCAGTTATCTCAGACACCTGAATATGAGCTGCATGTGCAGTTAGCCACAGAAGTGCGATTTCTCTCAACATGGCGACAGGAGAGCCGTCAATCAATAAATTGGAAAAAAAAAGTAACTTGCGTTACTTATTTGAAAAAGTAACTCAGATATTCTCTTGTAAATTAAAAAGTAATGCGTTACTTTACTAGTAACTTGAAAAAAGTAATCTGATTACATAACTCACGTTGCTTGTAATACGTTACCCCCAACACTGCTGATGGCATGTTTACCTGGGCAAGTTGCTCTTTCAATGCTAGACTTCTGATATGATTTATTAAGTATCAACTTCATCTCAGATTTTTCTCCCAATATGAGAAATAAAAATAGACAATAGTTGTCATTCAGTACAGGGCTCGCAAAACTTCAGGCAGGCACTCTTCAGATTTTGGTAGCACAAAATTAGTTGAACTCTAGCCTAAAAAAGGCAAATTTTTAATGTAGAAAATTGGATAGGAATCAAAACATCAATCAAAAACTATAAAATTACATGATTTACAGTTCAGATACAGGTTTTCACAAAACAAAAAGTCTTATAAAATGATAAACATCACATTTCAGACTTGTATAAACATACAATTTATTATATTAATTTAAAACATAAATATATATCTTACTGTCTTAATTGTTTAGATTTTTAGAAGGCACATTAGCTTCTTTCACATTTACAACTGCGTGTTTGCAGCGTAAAAACATGGGTCGATGTTCGCATTGATCTGAACATAAACAGCAGAAAGGCTTATTGGAAATGCAAGGTCATTCTCTGCCAGCAGGTGTCGCTTTTGAAACGTCAGGAATGTAGCGGTTTCCCCGCTATCGCGATTTTTGTGTTTCTGTCCCCAAATTTAAGACCTCTTGAAATTATTATTATTAAGACTTTTCTTAAACCATTTAAGGTATTTAAGACTTGTTATGGCCTTTAATTTGATGCAACTAAATGTAAGGCTTTGAGACTTCATAAGGACCGATTTTGCGAGCCCGGCGAAATGATTGAGTTCATATTGAGATTTTTGATTGCATGTATGATTTTCATGTTTTTTTTTTTTTTTTTTTTTTTTTTTAAAGAGACAGTGTTATTTCTGTTACTATTATAGTTTTTACAAATATTCTGAATTAGTTTTCATTTTTCTGCTTTCATTTTAATTTGAGTTAAAATTTTAGTCATTTTGTTGTGTTTCTGTTATAATTTTTATTTAAGTTTTAGTTATTTTAGTACATCAAGTTAAACTTCAAAAAATTAGAAATGCTGCCTTGGCAACTAACTGAATTAAAATAATAAGTTTAATTTTAAAAAATATTTTATTTCAGTTAAATATTTATTTTATTTTAAATAATGAACATGTTTTTTTATGGATTTAAAATGAATTAAATATTTCTGTTTTTGTTTTAGTTGTTTTAGTACATAGAGTTAAATTACATTAAATTGAATGAGAAATGTTCCCTTGGCAACTAGCTGTTAAAATAAGATTGTGTTTTAAAATTTAATTTCAGTTAACTTTATTTTATGTAATGAAAAATGTTTTTATGGTTTCTTAAAATGAATTAAATATTTCTGTTTTAGTATGAGTTCTTTTAGTACACCAAGTTAAACTAAAAGAATTGAAAAAGTTGCCTTGGCAACTATCTGAAATAATTAAAGGTTTAATTTTTATTTTATTTCCGTTCAATTTTAAGTACTGAACATTTTTATGGTTCTAAAATGAATTAAATATTTCAGTTTTAGTTATTTTAGTACATCAGGTTAAACTAAATGAAATTAGAAATGTTGCTTTGGCAACTAGCTGAAATAAAATAAGTTTAAGGTTTGTAATGAAAGTAATGAAAAGTTTTTTTTTTAAATGATTTTAGCTTTAGTTAATTATAATAACCCTGTCAGGAGAAACATAAGAAGCAGGAGGTGTCTCAGTTTGCTCTTCATATTGCCATGTATAGGAGAAACAAACAACTGAGATTTTTCTCATGTGATTTTCATCCCCCACCCTCAGAAACCGGACTCGTTTCATCTCTGAACTGAGAAGATGAGTGAAAGCCCTCTGATGGAGTACGAGCTGCAGTCTCTGGCTCCTGTCTCGGGCCCCGGGGCCACGGCGGGGCTCCTGCTGGCTCCGGACACAGAGCAGATCACGGCGCTTTGTTTCGTGGGACTCCTGCTGCTGTTTTTGGTGTTCCTGCTGGTGCGGTGTTTCCGGATTCTCCTGGACCCCTACAGCAGCATGCCGTCCTCATCGTGGTCTGATCCTAAAGACGGATTGGAGAGGGGACAGTTCGATTACGCGCTGGTCTAGAAATACAGCAATCTCACAAAACCTGTCAAGAACATATTTAACCTCCAAATCTAAAAGGCCATTTTTAAAATTATTTTATTATAATATAATAACATATTATATCTTATAATTATTTAATATATTATTATATATATGTACAATATAATATTTTTTTATTTTAATATAATATTTTAATTGTTTTCATAACATTTCCACCCTAAAATATTAACTAATGGAATGTATAAAATAATATTTTATTAATTATTTAATAAAATTAAATATATTTAATACTATTTTAATTTATTATTTTTTTATTTTAATATTATATTTTTTAAATTCTTTTCATAGCATTTCTGCCCCAAAACTTTCATTAGTGGAATGCACAAAATAATGTTTTAATTCAATTGAATCTATTTGACAGTTATGCCTTTAATAAAAAAAAAAACGAAAAAAAAAAACTAATTTGCTTAGTTATACTTAATGGACTACTGAAAATAGGGTTCAGTGTCTTTATGCAAAATCTTTTTGTGTGTGCGTTTCCTTAAGATTTTGAGATGAAAATATGACCTTGACTTGTTTTTTGAGATTTAACCACAAAACTAGTACCAGTGCAATATCGCTGAGATTTTAGTCTATAAAACAAGGTTTGCTTGGTTATTTTAGTTCAAGCCACGTTCGTTTCAGTCGTGGCAGTGGATGGGTGCCTGTTTTACAGTGTCAATTTCTACTTCAGTCAATTATGTGGATGAATCAGGCATCTGTATTCATTTCCCACAGACTTACAAACGTCCTTATTTTTTATTGTAAATTTCTAATTGTCTTTACGGTGCATGTGAATTGGTTGGATGGTATTTATTAATATTATTATTAAATGTTGTGCATTACGTTGTGTTATGCGTTTGTCCGCTTTGCAGGTTTTGTCAGTGATAACTGGAGCAAATGTGCCTTGCTTTATTTTTGTATCAGAGACTCTACTGTCTGTCTGTATTGATTTTGTTGTGATGTTTACGGTCGGTTTGGGATTAGTCTGTGCTTTTTTTTTTTTTCATCTTGAAAGGGCAAAACTATGTACAAACAGGGATTTCTCTGGAAATGTTTCTTACTCTGGATTGGTTTTTAGCAAAGAAATATTTGCTCAATAAATGACTTTTTCTCTCACCTGTAGGCTATTATATGTTGCTCTTTCATAATTAATCAGGCATATCTCCGGACACCCCACATGCATCACAAAGTCCCTCAACATCACCAGCCCATTAACCTGTTTAACTTGTCAAAAAACAACAGCCTGCATATGCAACACCATCCCAGTTAACTGGGAACGTTCTGACAATGTTATGAACAAACATTCTTTCATTAACGTTAATATAATGTTCATTAAAACCCGTTTCTTACACCATTCTACTAATTTTATCTTCACCCAAAATGTTGGAACGTTATCTGAACGTTTATTGTTAATATTCAAAGAACGTTGGAATGTCCAGTTTTCTTGATTTCGTGATTAGAACATTATTTAAAAGTTACAAAAACGTTTCTTAGAACGTACAAACACAAATAATATCACAAGGACGTTCGGACAGTGTTGATCTCAGAAGGTTTTCTTTCAACATTATGAGAACGTATTTATCAAACATTAATGAAGTTATAAGAACGTTTCAAAAACGTTACATTAAGAACATCTGATCTAAAAAAAAAAAAACGTTATTGATTGAAAGTTGTGAAAGCGTTCCCTGTTAGACTGGTAGCAGCTATATTCTTGTTGTGCATCATGTCTTAATCAATACAGACTGACACTGTTTTTTTTTACAGGAAATAAACTCTTCAGCAAGGGTGAAAGGTCAGGCTCGGTTTATTGTCTCCTTGTGCGGCTGTAAACGTGTCGCTGTAGTTTATGTTCGGTCTCTGATTAAGAGACACATCATGTATTGATTGTGTGATTGATCTGTACTGTAAATCCTACAGGTATCGACAGCAGCTCTGAGTCTGGGCTGGAAGACGTGTGGAGGCAGGTCAGTTTCACAAACCTCCTCAAATGCTTATTATGGCGTCTTAAAATATGAAATATTCATTCATATTTTAGCAATCGTGCAAAGAAACTAATGCCACAGATAGTGTTTAATAAGGACATTTTCTAGGGCATATACATCGTTTTTGTATTTAATATTGGTGTCACGTAGCCAGACGTTTCATTATCAGCAACTTCTAGCTGAGAAACGCCCACGAGACAGAAAGAGAGCGTCTGCTTGGCAATGAGAAGCAACCAAACAGTTTGTTTTTACGTGACATTTAACATTCCCAGAAACTGCATAGCAATCAGACAGCCAAAACACAACAAGCAGTTTTATCCAGCGCTTGCAAAATTTTGTGCACAATATGTGTCAGTAGGTGTGAGATCCATCTGAACATGAATTTATATATTATACTGACTGATTCAAGTAAAAGTCTGTTCCAATTCCTTGCATCAAGCGCCATCTACTGGTGAAAATGAGTATTACAGGTGAATAAATGTACAGTGCAAAAGGTGCAATGACTAAATATATGCAATATACTTGCACTCACCACAGTATAATATTGTTTGTATTATATTACAGAAAATGCAGTAGAAATTCTATTTTTGAACTAAAACGTTTGGGTAAAATAATTTCTATATAAACATAATTTGGTGATACTTTAAGGAATGTGTAACTTTTTATGCTAATTATTTAAGAAGCCTTTTCTTATAAAACACACACACACACACACACACACATATATATAATACTTATCAATGATTTAATATATATTAAATATAAAATGTACATTATCTTTTTAAATTTAGATTTAACTTTTTTTTAATAGGTAGGCTGTGTAGTAGTAGGAGTGTTAATAATAATAATAATAATAATAATAAAAAGTAATCAACCTAATCTTCCATCCTGCTGAAATTCATTATGCCTAATAACAACAACAATGAGCTCTTTATATCCTGACATCCACAGTTATAAGCTTCAGTATGAGCTGAGCTTCATATTCTGAGCTGCTGTTAACGACGAAGATGAGATGAATCATCACGATCAAATAATAATAATAATTCACTTTCTAAGGTTCAAAAGAGGAAGAAAGTGTATAAAAGCTCTCCTAAAGAAACCAGTTGTAAGCCTGGATTTTGGAGAGAGCCAGTAAACATCACGTTCCAGTTCAGCCTCCGTCTCATTAGTGAAGACTGCAGACACACAAAAGAGTTCAGCTTCACTTCACCAGAACAAAACACAGGAATCTGACCTTCATCAGACACATGAAGCATCATGTTATGATTTAGCTGATCTACAGACATTTATATTGTAACATAATGACAATTAAATAAACATATTATAGTTTAAATTTATATTGAATATGATGAGTGAAACATATTGACCCACTTACATGTTTATGTAATTTCATAGATTCTTTTATTTTTTTATTAATTGTACTGCCGAATGTGCTGACAGGCATGTATATGGTAAACTAAATGTACGTATTTATGTAATTGCACTTTTTTGACAGTATTACAAATTACAATTTTTAAAAGTGTACTGAAGTGTGTTAAGAAACATAGTCATGAAAGTGTACACTTAAGTCATCTTTTATTTCATTAATATTATATTATCTGCAAGTACAGTTTTTTTTAATAAAGTGTGTATTCAATACGATTAAGCACACTTCTTTTTCTCACAGGTTGTAGTCTGATTTACAGGCTGCTGTGTTAAATATTAAATTTTTTAATTCATAAATTGTTGTTGATACAGAGCATATTATTTACTCTTCACTGTTAAAATGATTTGTTGCTTAATCTTAAAACAAACTGAAGTTGTGCAGCATACGTTTATTCATTTGACAGACGTTTTTGTCTTGATGAAGTAAAAGGATGTTTTGTTTGAAAATGAAAGATGAAGAAACACTTGGAGCATTTTTTAGTAAATTGTATAATTTATTGTAGAAGTTCCCAGGTAACAAATTTAAGTTATAAAAACATTGTGGGAACGTTACTGTGAAATGTTTCTTGAATGTTGAAATGCCCAGTTTTCTTGTCGTAATTATAACTTTATTGAAAGGTTCTTTTTTACAACATTCTACTAACTTTATTTCCATTCAAAATCTAACATTATTTGAATGCTTATATTTAATATTCCAAGAACGTTAAAATGTCCGGTTTTCTTGACATAAATAGAACAATAGTGTTGTTTTGAGAACATTTTCTCAACATTATTAGAATGTATATGTTATAAGAACATTCCATAAACATTACTTTAAAAATGTTCTTATAGCCTATAACTTAAAAAACAAACAAACAAACAAAACGTCAGTTAAAGTTGTGAGAGCGTTCCCTGTTAGCTGTGTTAGTGCAAGGGAACATGCCAACCCTTACCAAAAAGTAGTATACTTCAAGTTTATTTTAGTAAGTATACTTAAGTAAAGTTCAAGTATATTTTTAAGTATACTTTATGTAGTAAGTATACAAATATCAGTGTACTAGTAGTATACTTGTAAGTGTACTATTTCAATACTCCTTGGGACTAAATTGGCCCACTTTCTAGTATACTTTAAAGTATACTTTAAGTATAACAGTTTATAACTAGTTTACATCAAAATGTTTAGTTTGTACTGCAACTATACTAGGAATGGAACTTAACCCCACAGATTGATGCAATCATTTATTAGGGGTGAGTGAATCTACCCAGAGGGGACATCTGTTGGAGAAAAACTAGAGCATGGGATCTGGATAAGAGACGGACAGACCCTTACAAAACACAATGTGCAGTATCAGATGTTTGCTTTTTTCTCCACTATAGGGCCCTGTATACCACAGTACTGTGTAGTTACCATATTTATACCATGGTGTTTACAAGCTACTCCAAGTTAGGCTAAGTGTTAGGCCTATTATTGTCCAAAAACATGCTAATTCCACAGTTTTTAAAATTATATTTGTTATAGTTGCCATGTCATTAACGGCTCTACTCGTCCAAAAACATGCTTATTATTACAGTATTTTTGTCTTGTTTATATCATCTGTTCTAATAGCATATCCAAAACATGCTAAAGTGTCTGATTAGATTTGTTAGA